CACGTCGTGGATTGCTGGTAACTGCTCATGATTTTGAAGTTCCACCTATTTGGCGCTTGAACACGTCGTGGGTTGCTGGTAACTACCCAGGTTTCCTCTAATCCTCTTGAACATAAACCACTTCTACCTTTCTTAGACGCTTTCTTTCTGGAAAATAATAATCACGCTTCCTCCAAGTCCAAGAAACCCTTCTTTGTCGACTAATACCATTTTCGACCAAGTCCTTGTCTTTTACCCTTTTGGTCGACTAAACCAATTTTATCCTCCTAACATATCCTTTTTTTTCTTCCTAGTCGACGTAGTTCAATTTTCGACAGTTTCAGTGTGACTTCTTCCAAGCATTAACTCTGACTTAATAAAACCAACTTTTCACACATTGGCACATGTTTCCCAAAAAAAAAACTTATTTTGGAGGATGACTCCTAACTTATGAGAATATCTTCATTTATTACATGTACTTGAATTCCTTAAGATTTTCCAAGGTAACAAAAGTGTAATATTCAAACAATCTCTCTTTCTAAGTTAGATTGTAAGAAGTATCTCGCTTGTGTGCTTGAGCATCTGAAGTCTCTTACTTATGTGTTTGAGTATTGAAAATCTCTTGCTTGTGTGCTTGAGCAATTGTAGTCAAAATTGATTATAGTGAAATCTATTGGAAGTACAAGGGGACTAGACTACTCCTAATTTGAGGGAGGAACCAAGATAAATTGTTTATGTCTCTCTTTCTCTCTAACTCTGATATTGTTTTTATCCGTTGCAAACAACTTACCTTGAATTAAACTCTAAACTATGTGTTCAGAATCTGATAAAAGTGTTTTAAAAAAGAAAGAAAAAACTTACACACTTCAACCCCTTCTTGTATTTTTCTCACCTTGGTTAGATGTTGCACTTATGAGTTTCATTGATGGTTTACTGTCAGGGTGATGACATTAGACGTCGAGCTTATGTGTTCCACCAATAAATTTTCATTAGGGCGTTGGTAGACGTTGAGCGTTTTTTTTTAGAAAAAAATTTCACCTTGAAAAAAGCATACAATGTCTCGATATGTAGTTCTATTTAAAACAAATGAGATGGTGGCATTCTGTGACATAAAAAAATATGGGGAATTTCTTATTCCACCCCATGCCCAAAAGAAATACCCAACATAATTCCTAAAACGCCCTATGAAACCGGAAGTATATTTTTGGTGCGCACCTTTTTTTTTGTTAAAATGATTAAGAACCAGAAGTATATTTGTGGTTGTAAATCAGCAATATATTTCTGGTTTTAATGCTTCCAATAGCAGAAAAAATTTAGGCAGATAAATGTCATTTTTTTCTTGTTTCGCATTAAATGCAAAAACCTGTATAATTCAAACAACAAAGACAATTGGAACAAAGATATATATATATATATATATATATATATATATATATATATATATATATATATATATATATATATATATATATATATATATATATATATATATATATATATATATATATATATATATATATATATATATATATATATATATATATATATATATATATATATATATATATATATATATATATATATATATATATATATATATATATATATATATATATATATATATATATATATATATATATATATATATATATATATAGGGATAACCCAAAAATATAATCCAAATACAACAATAAAAAACTAGAACCAAAATACAAATACATAATCAAATACTACCGGGTATGGCGAATGATGATTCGACCTGTCACCTTCGAGGCATTCCTCCGCTGCCTCCTGTAAAACAGATCCTCCTGAGTCTAGTGTAAGTGAATCGTCTCAAAATCATAGATACAATATGTATGCTCTCATGGAAAACCTCTGGTGAATGGTAACCTGCTCGGGATCACCAGCAGCCTCTCGTGCATGCCTAATCTCATTCGTGAACACCGTATCCAAATAACTATACCTAATGTGGCAACCACGAGTTTTATCAATCTCAACCATGGCACTCTCAGGGGTAACTCCCAACTTCTCAACCAACATATCCAACGCCTCCTTTTTATCAATCTTCTCATGATCCAAGAATGTCCCTCTAATCAGAAGATGTAGCAGACACGCGATGTCGCCGAGTGTGATCGTCATCTCACCATGTGGTGGATGAAACAACGACGCCTCATGGTGTCACCTCTCAACAGACGCGTTAATCATACCCTAGTTGATAACGATGTATCCACATAGGGCCAAATCTTTTAACCCTGTAAGCAATAAAAACTCATCAAACCATGGCTCAATAGGGGGTACGAGTCTACTGATCTTCCGCCCATGGTTAATGACCTTGAGCGGATCACGTTCCTGCATAAATATTTTGACAAATTTAATCAACAAACCAAAAATCAAAATTCATAATAAAAATGTAATCAAAATTCATACCTGTTAGTCCCAGATATATCTAGCAACATGGTCAGGGTAAAAAGGAAGAAGGGATAAATCAGAATGTCCTCCTCCAAAAGCCCGAGGCGCCGCAGGTGCAGACTCATTTGTCGCCTCATGAGCCGACTCAAGTGTTTGGGATGACTGAGGAGTCGCCTCAGGTTTCGTCTGAGATTGAGGCTATGATGGAGGTTGTGGTTGGGCCTCTGGTGTCTCCTGTGAATCAGACGTCTCTCCCGCCTCAAATGTACTCAGTTGAGAAGTGCGTTTGCGGGAGCACGGGGGAGGAGACAGATGAACTGAAGAATCCCGCATGCTGCAGGAGGACGACGTAGTAAGAGTAGAAGCGGAAACACCGAAGGCTGAAGCTATAGAAGGTGCATCCGGTACGACCTGTCCAGAGGCAGAAGGAGGCTGGGTTGCCTGACTCCTTTCTCTCTGCACAAAGGCATGTTGTGCAACCCCGCCGAGGCTCAATCGAGATGCTCTCCCAGTCATTGCTCCTGTAGGAGTACGAAAAAATGTTAACTTAAGAACCCGTGTTCAAAACAAAGTTGAAAACAAATACAAACTAAAATCGGAAATGCACTTACGGTCTTGTTCTTACTAAAACCGGAAATGCATTTCCGGTTTCTGCTGCGATTACATAAATACATTAACGACTTTCCTGTCCCCCAAATGAGCTCACAAAAAACCCATTGATCATGAAAATGGCATTGCTAACACCTTTCTAATGATTCTTAATATTGATAACAAACTACAAAATCCCAATTTCTAACCTAAATCACACATTTGAGTGAATTTTACATAAACTCTAAAAAGTTCAAAAATAACTTACTTGATTGATTGTGATTGATTTTCCTTGATTGATTGTGGTTGGATGCTTGAGAGACTGATGCTTGATGATTTCTAACAATTTGGGTTGCAAATGTGGTTGATTTGGTGAAAATTAGATTGAGAGAGTTTTGGTGTGTTTTGTATTTTTTGTTTTGAAAGTGACATTGTAATGAGAGGGAAAGAGACAACATGCCTTTTAATGAGTTCACAAATCAAAAATATATTTGCGGTTCTAAATCGTAGTTATATTTCTGGTTAGTACCGAACTTTTCCAACGTAATTCATGTCTAATATGGTACGAACCAAAAATATATTTCTAATTTTCAAAGATATTTTTAAAATTTTACATGGTACGCTAAAAAAACATAGAGTGAAATAAAAACTTCTCAAAATACATTTATGGTCTAATCTTCTAACCAGCACACTTCTTCACCGAATTCATGACCCGTTAAGCATTTACCTAGATTTAAATCTAAAACCATTTTTACAATGAAAAAGTTTTTTAACCGGTCCCATATTTTTCAAAAATAAAACATCCAAATCCAATATTTCATAACCGGTTGGTTAATGGATAAATCCATATCCAACTCACCTTCATCTCACATTCTCACTCAACACCAAAACACAAAATTCACCCAGAAAAACGCAACAGTGTACACCGTGTTTTCACGAATCAATGGACCAAAACGAAAACCCTAAAATTCACCAAAATGTCGAAACTCTGCCTACGATGTCGGAACTGTGTTTTCTCCAGTTTCGACCAAGACAAACATCAACGAGCTTGAAAAAAAACCGGATTCACAAAAAAAAAACCAGATTTACACTAGCCATGTTTTGGATTTTATCTGGATACGTCATATCCAAACCCTATTTTCATGTCACGTGAATCATTCCCATTTCCCACCATATTTTCACAAAGAATCATTCTTCACATAACCATGTTTGTTTCTAAACATTCAAACAAACCCGTGCTATCTTTTTGTCAGATGTTCATCCGTGAGTCATTGTCTACATCTTCTTCTCTCTCTATGCATATATACAAATTTTCATTGCACTTTATTAGCTGCATCTCACTGCATTCCAACCATTTTTTGTTTTCTACTGCCTATATATATTCTCATTCACATGTCAAGTCTTTCTCACTTCCTTCAGTTAGGCTCTCTAAACCCAATGCTGAAAAGTTTAGTTCATTTCAGTTGTAAATTTCTGGGCTGGCTTTCAGCTTGTAACTCTTTTTTTCCTGTTCATTCTAATATATTACACAAAAGAAAATAGGCCCAAAGGTTTCTTTTTTTCTTTTAATATATTTTTGTTTTTACTTTCAAATTTTCAGAAAGATGGAGGTTCTTGTATATGTTATTGTGGCCTTCATGCTGTGTGGTTGTGCTGCTGGAAGGGAATGCACAAACAGTCCGACTCAATCGCACACGTTGCGATATGAGTTAGGTGCATCAAAGAATGAGACATGGAAGAAAGAAGTGATGTCTCACTATCATGTAACCCCAAATGATGATTCAGCTTGGGCTGATTTGCTACCTAGGAAGTTGTTAACAGAAGAACACCAGCGTGATTGGACTGTTCTGTATAAAAAAGTTAAGAATTTGGGTGTGTTTAAGCCACCTGTTGGATTTCTCAAAGAAGTTCCTCTTGAGGATGTGAGGTTACTGCAAGGTTCCATTCATGCTGAGGCACAGCAGACTAATTTGGAGTATCTCTTGATGTTGGATGTTGATTCATTGATTTGGAGCTTCAGGAAGACGGCTGGATTACCGACTCCGGGTACACCTTATGGTGGATGGGAGGCTCCTGGTGTGGAACTCAGAGGACATTTTGTTGGTAAGATTTACTTTATTCATCATTATTTTTATGTTCTTTATTTGTATTTGTATCATGGTCTTTGGTAATTGTCTTAATGAGTTCTGGGGTGCAAGTTCTGTTCATTCCTCTCACAAGCAAGGTTGTCAAGATTGAGATCTTACCTAAGATCGGGAGATAATAGCAAGATCGTAAAATATAAAATTGTAGCTAAGATCGGAAGATCCTACCTAATTATTTTTGTAAGATCGAGAGGGGGTCATAAAATCGTAGAACATAAGATTGCAAATGAAATAGTAAGATCCTACTAAAATGAAAAACTAATAGTATATATTTGAAGTATTTTTATATGTTTGTAGGCAAGTGTATTAGTGAGAAAATGGCTCTTTTTCATATTCTTTAGACATGTATGATTCGATTTGTATATGTTATTACTACCACATGGACAATTTGTTAGACATTAGGGACATATTTGGCCAATTTTACTAGACATTAAGGACATTTTTTTACAATTTGACTACAACACGTGATTCTACTTAAGATCCGGATCGTTGGGCGTGAGTGAGATCGTAAAATCTTAAGATTTTAAGATCTAGATCGATATCTTGACAACCATGCTCACAAGAACTCCGCTCCTGGTCCTGGCTGCAATTTTCAGCTTCTGCATTTCACTTTTGAAGGTTAATTTATATTTGCTTTTTTTTTACCATGTGAAGGGCATTACTTGAGTGCATCAGCTCTAATGTGGGCCAGCACAAAGAATGATAGTCTGAAGGAGAAAATGTCAGCTATTGTTACTGGTCTATCCACTTGTCAGAAGAAAATTGGAACAGGATATTTATCTGCATTTCCAGCCGACTTTTTTGATCGATTTGAAGCTAATCAACCTGTTTGGGCTCCCTATTACACCATTCACAAGGTATAAGCAAATCTAAATTTTGATTACGAAAGTGCTTCTGGCCTTAACATTGTGTGATCTCAATTACTCAACTTTGACAGATCATGGCTGGCTTGTTGGATCAACATACTATAGCTAGAAATCCTCAAGCTCTAAAAATGTTGACATGGATGGTCGATTACTTTTACAACCGAGTGATGAATGTAATAACAAAGTACACTGTACATAGACACTATGATTCCCTGAATGACGAAACTGGAGGAATGAATGATGTCCTTTACAAATTATATAGCTTAACGGTAGGTTAACTAGTTCATATAGTTTCTGTAACTCTCTTGTTTCACGTGTTTATATAACGTTCTTCACTTGTTGACTAAGTAAATATGTTGCTTTGAAATGTAGAGTTTAACAGATATGGATTCTATTCCATAGTTGATGGAATTTTTATGCATGCCATCTGTGACACAAATTTAATGATTATAGCACATGGTACCTGGTTATTCTGACCTGTCACGTTATACAAATATGCAGGGGGATTCAAAGCATCTATTGTTGGCTCACCTTTTCGACAAACCATGCTTTTTAGGGCTGCTTTCAGTAGAGGTAACTCATCAATATTTGTTATGACATAATTTTGTTTTATGTAGTTTTGGCTGTAAATTTCAAGAGGTTGCAGTTGTTCTTCAAATTAATTTTAAGAGAGCACTTATAAGTTATAACTAATATTAGCTCTCAGATGAGCAACACATAAAGTGCATACATAACATACAATATATACGAGAAAGTTTACGTGTAAAATTTAATTATAGCCTTATTTTTGAACTTAACTTTTGTATTTAAAATAAAGTGTCCTCTACTTGAATGTTATATATAATATTGTTGTGCTCATCTCATCTCCAAATAAAACAATTAAACATTTGGATGTTGAACTCAGGTATTTGTATTCTAGTTTAGAAATTGTATTTAATTTTATGACTGGTCCCAAGAACTATTTTTGAAACTCTCTTTTTTCTTGTAGGCTGATGACATAGCTGATTTTCATGCTAATACACACATCCCAATTGTTGTTGGAGCTCAAATGCGGTATGAAGTCACGGGTGATCCACTTTATAAGGTGAGTTCCTTATGCACATTGTAGATTACTGATTTTATTTTCACAAAGTTTTCAGAAAATTATGTTTATTTTCTATTTATAGGTAATATATTTTATTTATTTTTCCAATTTTAATGTTTTGGGGGTAAACTTGAGGATAATAATCATTAAAACACTCCTATCCTTTCAATTTTCTAAGTGTGTTTTGGTGTGTTAGGATATTGGAACATTCTTTATGAGCATTGTAAATTCTTCACATAGCTATCCAACGGGAGGGACCTCAGTCGGCGAGTTCTGGTACTAAGATATCATCCTTTTAAGTTTCAGTTTTTTTCATATGCATTTAAAATTATCCATGGAATTTAATTTCTTGAAGAAAATCAAGCAGAAAGTTTCTGCTTCTTTATTTTTACATGATAACCAGTTCTAGATTTCTTTCAAAAGTCTTTTTATCTCAATTTGTGCAGGAGGAATCCAAAGAGAATGGCAGACACCATGTCAACAGAGAATGAAGAATCGTGCACAACTTATAATATGTTGAAGGTACAACCAAATGAACCAATCGCTCATGATTCTATTAGTTCGTCATGTAATCCTCAGGAAGATTTTCATAGAATTTCTTTAAACTGTCGAAGAGGGAAGATTTATTATCACACTGTAACTCATTGGTATAATACTTATGAATTATGCTTGAATGTGTTCCTACGTCCAGTGTAACATATTACTTTTGGGATGATTCAATGTTTATTTCTGTATAAGTATTCATGTTCTCAAATATTGATTTCAGGTTTCACGCCACCTGTTCAGATGGACCAAAGAAGTCTCTTATGCAGATTATTATGAGCGCGCCTTAACAAATGGTGTACTTGGTGTTCAAAGAGGAACAGATCCTGGGGTGATGATTTATATGCTACCTCTAGCAAATGGGGTTTCCAAAGCTAAAACTTTTCATGGTTGGGGAACACCATTTAATTCATTCTGGTGCTGCTACGGAACAGGTAGGTAACTGCATAAGATTTTTTATAGTTATTAAAAAATCACCTTGGGTACTAATTTTCTTCATAAAACAACCTTCATCGACTAAAATACCATTACTCTTAAAGTAGTTAGTTGAATTGTTAAGTGGTTTGAGATGCAATAAAGAAGATTATTTATTACTGGAATTTGGTACTAAACAATTTGTTGGTTTTCTAAAATGACAAACAATATTAAACAAACAGATATTGAAACATGAGACTTACTGTGAGGTGGAGAGAGTAATACTCTTTGTAAACTCCTCTAATCTCTTACCAGTATGCTATTCTCAATTTATTTTTCCTTTGTCATTAGGAATTGAATCATTTTCAAAGCTGGGAGATTCTATTTATTTTGAAGAGGAAGGAAATAGTCCTAGTCTATACATCATTCAGTACATATCAAGTTCATTTAATTGGAAATCTGGGAAAGTTTTGCTCACTCAGACAGTTGTTCCAGCTGCTTCGTCGGACCCTTACCTACGAGTTTCATTTACCTTCTCTCCTAATGAGGTACCTATTACATTGTCTTATTGCTTCTCATTTAGCCACATATCTTCTGATGATAGGTATTAGGTATTGGACTTTTGAGGTTATAAATTTATAATGCCAATTTTGTAGCCTTAATTATAAAACCAACAAGACATGTAGTATAAGATCCTCCATATTTTCCTTCTATAACCTATAATTTCAGAACTTGATCTTTGCAGAAAATTGGGACTTTGTCAACATTGAACTTTCGTTTACCATCTTGGACTCATGCCGATGGTGCCAAGGCGATATTGAATACTGAAACTTTATCTCTGCCAGCTCCAGGTCTGAATCTGTCTTTACTTCCCTTGTCTCACGGTGATAGATGCTAGAATGTGTAATCACCAAAAAATAAAAATGACGAAAAAGAACAAGCCCTTACCCATTCATATTTAAGACAAGACACCCACACACACTAGTAAACTAGACATATTTATGTATTTTCCTATAGCAGGAAAAATTTACATTTGAACCATGAAAGTAATATTTTACTATCTTAACCTCTAGGGAATTTTTTGTCAATCACACACCAGTGGAGTGCTGGTGACAAGCTGACCCTTCAGTTGCCACTTATCCTCAGAACAGAAGCCATAAAAGGTAGCTTTTCAAGATAATCTATGAAAGAAATATACATATATTTCATCAAAGAATGTGTTAACATTACTGATATTGTGTTTTCAAATTAAACTCAGATGAAAGACCTGAATTTGCATCTCTCCAAGCCATTCTTTATGGACCATATCTTCTCGCCGGTCATACCTCCAGAAATTGGGACATCAAAGGTGGCGCTAACACATCTGTTGGAGACTGGATTACTCCAATTCCTTCCGGTTACAATGATCAACTAGTTTCTTTGTCACAAGACTTTGAAAACTCAACTTTTGTTATAACAAACACAAACCAATCACTGTCAATGCAAAACTTACCTGCATCTGGAACCGAGTTCGCTCTTTATGCTACCTTTAGACTTATCCAAAAAGATGCTACTAGTAAATCAGTGATTTTAGAACCAATTGATCTACCTGGAATGACCGTAAGTCACCAAGGACCAGACCAACCTCTTATTGTTGTAGATTCCTCCCACAACGGGCCTTTGAATTTTCTAGTCGTACCAGGATTGGACAGACGAAATCAGACCGTATCTTTTGAATCAGAAAGCAATAAAGGTTGTTACGTGCATAGCGATATGAACCCTGGTTCAGGACTTAAGCTCAAGTGCATGTCGGATTCTGAAGCTAGTTTTAACCAAGCAACAAGTTTTGTTTTTGGGAAAGGATTAAAGCAATACCATCCTATTAGCTTTGTGGCTAAAGGTACATACCAGGACTTTCTTTTAGAGCCATTGTTCAACTTTAGGGATGAACATTATACAGTTTATTTCAACTTCCAAGGTTAAATAAGTTTATCCTAGAAAGGTTCAAATAATGAAAATTTATTTGTAGAAAGATTAGTGGATGGCTTTCTTGTGTTTGGTGCTCTAAATGTATGAAATGGATTATTTTTTTCTTCTGATTTCTCAGTGGAATGTAAATGGATCAACATTTATACAATCCTTTTATTTGCCAGCTTGAGTTTAGTAATCACACGTTTTGTTATGTATGTATTACATGTTTGAAACTTTAAAGAGACAATGAATTACAAAGGCTATACTTTTAATTAATGAATCATTATAGTAATAAATTTTTTATATATGGGTTTATCCTCCCAACCCAAATCTATTTATTCATGTTTGTGTATGAGACTATGAGTGCATGGTTGAAGTGGCTGGCCGGAAAGGCGTCCATTGTGTTGGAACAATTCCGTGGTTGTGACTAAAGTCGACATGACCAATGTAAGTGGCTAACGCCATTGACTTAGGAATCAAACCGTTCAACTTGTTATGTGACAGATCAATGTTTATGAAATATGAGATTTCACTAAACACATCTGGTATAGGTCCCCTCAAAGCATTCCTACTCAAATCCAAATGGCTCATTCTAGATGCCAACAAAGTCATCCTCCCGCTCAAGTTGTTATACTTCAGGTTCAGCGAGTCCAGAACCGACATCTGTCCTAATGAAAACGGAATTGGACCAGATAACTGGTTCAGTGACATGTCTATATCTGCTAGCCCATATATATTTGAAAAGGATCGTGGAATTCGACCGTTTATTCTATTGTGACTTAGTAACACTCGGTTCAGCTTTCTGAGCCGGCCGATGTTCCCGGGAATGGGGCCTTCTATGGCATTGTTGCGAAGATCAAGTTGCTTTAAGTTAACGAGGTTTACAAGTGTAGCTGGAATCCTGTTTGAGATATGATTATCTGCGAGATTGAGCATCATAAGCTGAGTAAGATGCCCTATATCATATGGAATCTTTTCGGAAATCATGTTTCCGGAGAGATCTATAATTTGGAGAAAATTTAGTGTCGTGATGCACTCAGGGATATTTCCCGAAATACCCTTCCAGTCGGAGATAGTGATACTAGAGAGCTGGGTGAGGTTGCAAATTGATGGAGAGATGTGTCCAGTCATGTATCCACTCGTGGTTTCGGTGTGTTTGTAGCGGCGGTGGTTGTCTCCCACGGTGAGGCCACGGAGTGTGATCTCTGCCACCCGACGTGAGGTCGGGTCACAGCTGATGCCGTACCAATTGTAGCAACAATTGGTACCTCTCCATGAATGGAAGATTCCAAAGTAAGGTTCATTAAGAGCTGCTTTGAAGGACATGAGTGCTGCCCATTCAGAAGGAGGACATGATGAGACATTGAGAACTTGTAAGGTCACTAGTAGCAATGACATTGCCAAGATTGCTCTAGCACCACACATTTTTGTTTGGTTTATTAGATTGGAGTGAGTAACTATGAAAGTGTTACTTAGTGCTTAGTGTTTATATAAGGGGATATCTACATGCTTGTGATACAAGGATTAATGTAACAGTGCATGGTTCTGTTAACAAGAAAGGAATTTTGTAAATGGCGATCTTTTGTTTTTGTTTCTATAAAGTGATGATTCTACTGTGGTGGAAAGCAATTAGGTAAAATACATTTGCATATGGTATTTTGTTGTGATTTATCGTGGTTTGAGTGCAACATTGTTTTGTTTATGCAATATTGTTTGATTTACCGTTTTGTTTCAATGCTCGTTTTGGTTCAAATTGATCAATCAATTTCAATTTGTTTGAAATCAGATTCAATCGATGACTTGTACGTCAATATTGTAGACCGTGGATATCGTGAATGTCCTCTACAACCCTTAATAAAATGGGTGAATTAGATGAGGAGCAAGGCAACTAAAAAAATTAAGTGTGTCGCTTTTTATGAGAAAAAAGAGTGAGGATTGCACTTTGAAGCTTTGTGTGTAGTATCTGATTCAGTCTATTGTAGGAAATTAAAGCAGTTATTTTTTTAAAGTGACAGTAGAACAGCTTCTGGTTACTTGCTTCTTTCTCACCTCGATCTGAAAAAGAAAACTAAAACATTCTTCCATACTTCAACTCCATCCGGTAGTGTTTACTTTTGTATTTTAACTTTTGTTCATAAAATCATTTCAATTATGGTGGAACGAACAAAATGTTATGAGGCCATTGGTTGTAAAATATCTCAATCTCCAGTAGACTTGAGAAAAGACATTACCACCAAATAGACTTTTCTATCCTTTTACCATGATTTTTAGTTGTAACACATTGCTTTTTATAAGGGTGTTTTAGATTTTTTAACCCATACATATAAAATTTATAATTTTATAATTTTTGTTTTATTAACTAATTTAATAATATCTTATTAAAAAAACATTATCGCCAAATAGAATAGGTTTGCATAACCTTTAAAATTGAATTTTAATTGCTGACACATTTTTTTTAAACGGTGTTTAACATTTTATTTCTCATAATATTAAATTAATAATATTATACTTTTGTTGCATTGAATTAATTTATAATATCATTTAAATAGATTTGTATTGATAAAGTAGGGTACAATATTAATAACTTAGGATAGTATATTTATATTAAATATTGAAAATGTCAAAATGCCCTATTAAATGATAAGTATTAAGAATTGTAGAAATTAACCAAATTATCTTTTCAATATCATCCCTTAATTTAGATTTTCTATCAGAAGCTAACAACACCAATTTCATCTCTCAAGCGAAGAAATTGGTCTGTCTTAACTGCATTCGTCAGAAGATCTGCTCGCTGTTTCTTGGTGCTGCAGTGCAGAACTTCTAACACTCCTTTCTGCACTTGACTTCTGAGAAAATGATACTTCGTCTCAATGTGCTCGCTTCTTCCATGTAGCACTGGATTCTTGGCAAGATCAATTGCATACTTATTATCAATCATCAGTTTCAGAGGTTCCTCAACTTTAACCTTAAGATCATACAAGAGATTCAGAAGCCAAACAACTTGACAAGCAGCTACAACACCTGCGATATACTCAGCTTCACACGTTGACAGAGCCACGACATGTTTCTTGGAACTCCAGAAAATAGGACCTCCCAAAAATTTAAACAAGTATCCAGAAGTACTTCTCATGCCCACTCTGTCTCCACACCTGTCAGAATCAAAATAACTTACTAATTCTGGTTCTGTCTTTCTTTCAGAAGGAAATAGCACTCCATATTTCAGAGTTTCCTTGATATATCTCAGAATTCTGACAGCAGCTTGGAAATGAGGCCACTTTGGATTACTCGTGAATCTGCTAACTAATCCAACTGCATAACAAATGCTAGATCTAGTATTACATAAATACCTTAGAGAACCAACCAACTGTTTGAAGGTTGTAGTATCAACAGAATCACCATCAGAGTCAGAATTTAATTTTTGATTGGTTTCTGATGGTGTCACAACAACTTTACAATTCTGCAGCTTAAATCTCTTCAGAAGTTCAAGTTCGTACTTCAACTGATGCAGAATGATATCCTTCTTTGAGTACAAAATATCCATCCCTAAGAAATATGTCATGTTTCCTAGATCTGTCATCTCGAACTCATTCATCAGAACTTCTTTGAACTTCTTTATATCTTATGGGCAACTTCATGTTAGCAAAATGTCATCAACATAAAGACACACCAGAATCATATTGTTATCAGAGTGTTGCACATAAACTCCATATTCCATCTCACATTTCTGAAACTTCTGCTTCTTGAAAAACGAATCAATTTTCAGATTCCAAGCTCTGGGCGCTTGCTTCAATCCATACAGAGCGTTATTCAACTTGTATACCATCTCTTCCTGATTCTTTTTCACAAATCCAGAAGGTTGTGACACGTAAACTTCTTCCTGTAATGAACCGTTCAGAGATGCAGACTTCACATCCATATGCATCAAAGGACAATTTCTATTTGCAGCTAAAGCAATCACCAATTTGATTGTTTCATGCCTAGCTACAGGCGTAAACAACTCAAAGTAATCTAGCCCAGGTTTCTGAAGAAAACTTCTAGCTACTAGTCTAGCTTTGTGCTTGCCAATTGAACCATCTGACTTAAGCTTCAACTTAAAAACCCATCTGACACTGATGACTTTTTTCTTATCTGGAAGCTTAGTCAATTTTCACGTTTTGTTCCTTTCTATTGCCTCAAGTTTTTCTTTCATGGCATTCAACCATTCTTTCTTCTTGAGAGCTTCTTCAATGCCCACAGATTCTGAATCTACTAGCATGGCACACTGAACAACTTCTCCTTCAGAATCAACTTCATTATCCTGTAACATGTCGAAATCTGTAAACCTTCTTGTTTTTTGTCTGATTCTCTGTGGTCTTTGAGCTTGTTCTGAAACTGCACTAGAACTACTACCTTCAGAGTTTTTCCTTCCAGAACTATGATCACCACCAGATTCTGGATCATCATCAGCATCTGGATCAGAATCAGATCCACTGTCAGAATCTCCTTCTGACTCATCTTCAGAATCAGATTCATCTTCTGATTTTGACTTATCTTCAGAACTTTCTAAAACATCTTAAGAAGCTAACTTTGGTGTTGGCACTGCACCAGAATTTGATTGAGACTTGTTCCAATCCCATGCTCCAGACTCTTTCACCACAACGTCTCTGTTGACTTCAACTTTATTAGTTTCTGGACAATAAAGCTTATACGCACCTGTACTGTGATACCCCACCAGCAATATTACTTTGCTTCTATCATTCAGTTTTTGTCTTCTAACTTCTGGAACGTGTTTGTAACAGACAAAGCCAAACACCTTCAGATGAACGA